CAATTCCATTTTGTCAATGAATTTCTTCTTCTTCTTACCATTCGTGATCCTATGAAAAAGTTTAGAATTGTTATCTCCTTCTTTCAACCACTTCACGCTATGCATTTTGTCTCCAACTAATTCCTTCTTTGAACACTACCTCGTCAAAATTATTTATTAACTCCCATCTTTCCCTTCTCAAATTCTCATCTAATGTAACACTCTCTTCAATCTTGTCAAACTCTCCTATTCTATCCATGGTTAGACTTTTTTTGACTCTTATATCCCTAAAAACTNAATGAGAATTAAATGTAATTATAGTGGGGTATTAACTGTAATTACAGTGAGTGTTAAGTGTAATTATAGTGGAGTATTAAATGTAATTATTCATAATGAACCGAATATATCACTGTTTCGTCGAAATGGTATTGTTTCGATCGAAACGGTCCGAAACAGTGTTGTTTCGATCGAAACACTGAAATTTTGTGATTCAACTACTGTTTCGTTTCGGAGTGTTGAAATTCCGAAACGTTTCGAACGTGTCAACACGACATTTTGATCCTTGATGTAACATTAGTTTATAGCATTAACAACACCATTATGAAAAAATTCACCGAAAACATTCATCAAATCTCCTTTAATTATATCCCCACAATCTTGAAAAATAGTCAAAGTGAAGTCATCAGGACCCAAAGCTTTGTCTCTACCACACTCAAAAATAGTNTGGTATTTTTTTTTATAGGAAACATAACTGATATATATTAAAAAATATAGACAGTACATGAAAAAGGTTGAATAAGAAATCAACCAAGAAAAGGTAATTACAAAAAGAAGAAAAACATCAAAAGCTCTAANTAGTATTTTTTTTTATAGGAAACATAACTGATATATATTAAAAAATATAGACAGTACATGAAAAAGGTTGAATCAGAAATCAACCAAGAAAAGGTAATTACAAAAAGAAGAAAAACATCAAAAGCTCTAAATCACATGAAGCTCTCCGTCCCTCCCACGAAGATAGCAAAAAGCAGAATCTCTTTAAAATCCTTGGAAGTCAAAGCCCAAAATGAAGCGATGAAATTAATACGGTTCCATAGCCCATCAAACAATTCACTTTGATCTTCAAAAATTCTAGCATTCCTTTCTTTCCATATATCCCAAAAAGTGGCAAGAATTATTGCACATCTCCATAGCGTCACTCCTTTAACAAGTTTTTTAAACCCATTCAAGTCTTCAGCCAAAAATGACGTAGATAACTTGGGAAGAACCCACATTAACCCAGCCAAGCTAAACAACTTATATCACAAAGCCAATGCCAAAGGACAATGAATGAACAAATGATCAATACTTTCAACTTCAGACTTACACATCACAAACCACCGAGTGGATATACAACTAGTTGGTCTTCTTTTTTGAAGCATATCGTTGGCATTAATCTTTCCATGTGCAATAGTTCTTGCAAAAACTTGTTCCTCAATAGGCACTTTAGCATTCTAAATCATCAATGCAAGAAAAAAGAGATGATAAGAAGATTCTTCCAGCAAAAAAACAAAGAAGAATTGGATAGAGAAAACACCTGAAGAGTCAAGGACACATCTTCTTCAATCACATAAATCAACATTCGACTGGGAATTGTTAAGAATAGCAAGAAGTGACACCAACTCTATAGAATCCCTATCATCTAATTCCTACGAAAACCGAAGTCCCAAGACTTCAGTTGATCATAAGATCTCAACATATAAGCAACAGAAGCCCTGTGAAAGGATGATAAATGATAAAGACATGAAAACACATTTTTAAAAGATAACCCCCCTAACCATATGTCCTCCCAAAAACGAACTCTCTCTCTATTACCCACCACCAAATGAAGACTTTGGGAAAACCTCAACAATCTGTGATATAGAAATGGCATCGGTAGCTTTCCCTTTGAATCGTGTTAGTGTCTCATCCATTGGTCAAAAATCCATATTTGCTCTACATAACTAAATGCCACAAAAAAACTATGTTCTAAGAGAAACCTTCAAAGCCACTTAACCACTAAGTAATACTTCTTGCCTTTAAATTTTCAATCAAAAGACTACCTTTATAGAATCTAGAAACCATTTTCCAACTAATTAAGTGATCATTTCTCCCCTCTCCACCTCGTTCCCACAAGAAATTCCTCATCATTTTCTCAATTTTTATTACAATCTTGGTCATTAACTTAAACAAACATAAAAAGTAAATGGGAATACTAGATAAAACGGACCGAACTAAAGTTAACCATCAAGTCTTTTTCCCACCCTTTCCACAAATGAATCGCAAAAAGATAAAGATAATTGATTCTCAACCAATTAATAGGCAGTTCCCTACCTTGCCCCCCAAAAGTTTTGCAACTTTATTGATCTTATCATGGTGTGAATTTATACCCACAATCAAACTTTAATCCATATTCTCCTTCAAGCCAGATATAATCCCAAACACATCTACAATATTCTTAAATTTAGCATTTTTCCCTCATCCCCAACAGAAAAAAATATAGTATCTACAAATGTGAAACATAAACCTTATCCATCGCTACAATAAATCCTTCCACGAGATTAGAACCTTCAGCCCTTTTCACTAATCTACTCAACTCATATGCAACTAAAGTAAAGAGAAAGTGTGCTAAAGGATCAACCAGTCTCAATCCTTTATAAGTCTTAAATACACCCCTTAGTTTTCCATTCATCATAACAAAGAAGTTCATAGATTGCAGACAACCCATTATCCATTTCCTCGAGCGATTTTCAAAGCCTTTCACTTCCAAGACAAACTTCAAAAAATCCCACTCCACATGATCATAAACCGTTTCAAAATCAATCTTAAAAACAAAGCCTTCATTTGTCTTGCCTCTATATTCCTCCACCACCTCATTAGCCATAAAGCAACATCAAGAATTTGCCTACCTTTAATAAAAGCACCTTGACACTCACAAAAAATATCCCTAAGATTAAAAAGACTAGATATCAAGCTTATTGGTCTAAAATCCCTGATTTTCATGAACTTGTCTTTCTTTGGAATCAAAAAAATGTATGTAGCATAAGGATCAAAATTTCGTTTCGAAGTACCGTTTCGGTCAGCTCAAAAATGGAAACGTTTCGGAAACGCAATGAAAACGCATAAAAACACAAATACAATCCATTAATTTATAAAGATAAGTTAAATAATTGATTAATTCAACATATTTATTGGATTAACATCCATTTATACAAGAATAAATTTAAATTTGAGGAAAAAAAAGGCTTGACATGAGGCAAAAATCACTTAAATTAGTTTCAAACACTTAATTTTTATGAAATAAACATATTTTTATATAATATTAAGGTCTTATAATACACATGAAATGCTGATGAGTACATACTTACATGGCTGCATCCAACCCCCCGTGGAGTGTCGAGCAGGCTCTGGGTAGCTACTTAGATAAACTCCATATGTGACATAAATATGATAACAATAGTTACTCCAACTGATATTATTACGGTAATATTATCCAATTAATAATACTATTTTATTATAATACTAATAATGAAGGGTATCAAATTAAATTAATGGTACTTATGTATACTTAAAAATTAAATGTAATTGTAATGGGTATTAAATGTAATTACAGTGGGTATTAAATATAATTACATTAGAGTATTAAATGTAATTGTTAATACTTATAAAAAAAAAAAAAGCAAAAGACTTGCACAGCAATGGGGTATTAAATATAATTACAGTAGGTATTCAATATAATTACAATGGGTATTAAATATAATTAAAGTAGGGTATTAAGTGTAACTATTTATTCTTATAACAAAAAAATTATAAAAGGCGGAAGAGCAGTGAGAATTAAATGTAATTATAGTGGGGTATTAACTGTAATTACAGTGAGTGTTAAATGTAATTAGAGTGGAGTATTAAATGTAATTATTCATAATGAACCGAATATATCACTGTTTCGTCGAAATGGTATTATTTCGATCGAAACGGTCCGAAACAGTACCGTTTCGATCGAAACACCGAAATTTTGTGATTCAACTACTGTTTCGTTTCGGAGTGTTGAAATTCCGAAACGTTTCGAACGTGTCGACACAACATTTTGATCCTTGATGTAACATTAGTTTATAACATTAACAACACCATTATGAAAAAATTCACCGAAAACATTCATCAAATCCCCTTTAATTATATCCCCACAATCTTGAAAAATAGTCAAAGTGAAGTCATCAGGACCCAAAGCTTTGTCTCTACCACACTCAAAAATAGTATTTCTCACTTCCTCCTCAAAAGGTCTCTCTATCCACTTAGATGTAACCTAATCAATACAAATCCACTCCAATCCTTCCACATTTGGTTTAACAACCCTCTGAGATGAATATAATTGGGCAAAGAACTCTAGAATGTTACTCTCAATCATTCCCTTATCTTCAATGATCACTTCATCATCCAATTCCATTTTGTCAATGAATTTCTTCTTCTTTTTACCATTCGTGATCCTATGAAAAAGTTTAGAATTGTTATCTCCTTCTTTCAACCACTTCACGCTATGCATTTTGTCTCCAACTAATTCCTTCTTTGAACACTACCTCGTCAAAATTATTTATTAACTCCCATCTTTCCCTTCTCAAATTCTCATCTAATGTAACACTCTCTTCAATCTTGTCAAACTCTCCTATTCTATCCATGGTTAGACTTTTTTTGACTCTTATATCCCTAAAAACTTCTTTATTCCACATTTGAACCTTCTATTTCACATATTCCAACTTCTTCATGAATCTATAACCTTCCCAAACGTGAAAACTTCCTTCCCCTCACCACACCCTAAATTGTCATCCGAATGCATGATGTTCAAACCACATATTCTCAAACCTAAGAGTCAAAGACGAATTGGGAACAACAGAGCAAAGCAATGGTCTGACACAACCCTCGTCAAAATCTCAAGTCTAATTCCCAGATAACATTCCTCGCACTCAGCAGAAAAAAGAAATCTACCAAATCTATTACCCAAAGGAGGATCCTTAAGCCCTATTGGTATGATACCAAAGTTCATGAACACAAGCAGATTAATAATCTAAATTTAGATGAATAAGAACGATAATATCATAGAGTTCAATTTTAAGATAGTATAATCTGAGAGTAACCTTTCACACATTGGTGTCATTCCGACAATCTTTTCCTTGTTATAAGGCGTACGACATGCTGGACATCGCCCTTCTGTCACATCTTTCTCAGCCATTTCCATTATGTGATGCCAGCACCAAACGCAGATCTGCAGAAAAGTGGAAGCAAATCCAAATATTATTTGGAAAAAAATTATGGCCACTCATAATCTGAATTAACAGTTCAATGCTACAGCTTGGACAAGATACCCAATATATTGAAACCAAATTATTGTGCTTAGCCTCATGGGAAAAACTTTACTCAAGAAATGAGACGCAGCTCAACATTCAACTAATACAATTACAAGCGCAAAAAGAAAGTTAATGTAATGACTCCTCTATGGTAACTTAGATACCAAATGCTATAGCAGAAACTGCCCTTAATACGCACAGATGACAAAAGCAACGAACTTCCGCCATCACAACATGGTTATTTGTGACCAGCATCACAAGCGCCACATCAACAAGCAAATTAGTTAGCATTCAACCATCACAAAAAAATCGTTGCATTGGAACACTGACCAAAATTAGAGCCTCAAACAGCACAAAGTGACAACAGACAAAAAAACACATTGTCTTGTCCCACACATAATATTAACCAAGCGGTTATGCTGCCTTCAGACAATGAAGTATCCAAAGAGTTGGGGTATATTCACCTTATCTCAGACAAAAACGATGACTTTCGTTTCATAAAAGTTCTTTACAGTCTCTAACAGAAACTGAAGCAAATATTATATTACTCATTATACATCGGTATCTAGACATTAATAACTTGCTTTTCCTCTAGTCCTAAATAGTAATACAGTGACTGTGGTTTTGGAATACTTGAAAACCTCTCAACCAAAAATAAAATTAAAGAATGAGAATATGTCATTACAAAACCCAGAACAAGAGATTTAGGGGAAAGGTGCTTCAAACCTCATAACCGCACTTGCAAGGCTTCAACTGCTGGTCGGTCAAGTCCATCTCTTCAGCACAGAGGGGACAAGTTTTTTCTCCTTGGTCGCTCATGGTTGCCTAAAGACAAAAAAACAAGATCAAACACAATAAGACCCTAATAAAAACATTACAGTTTCAATAACCGCGGCTGACAATAACAGTAAGGCATTAAGTATCAACTTTTAGTCACCACAGAACTTTACTTCACATGCAACATTTAATTGATAGAACCCAATTGTCAATTTTATAATGCCACATTTTCACGGAATTGCAAACTATATCATCATAACCCATTTTTTTACCAAAAGAAAAGAATAACAGGAAAAAAACAAAAAAGGTTTCAGCATCTAAGGAGCAACAGAAAATCACAACTAACAGTCTCCCCAAATCCCAAACCAAACCCTTTAAATGTTATCATCCACTACCACCCACTTTTTCACATAAACTGAATGTTAACATGCATCGATCCAACATTAAAAAAAAAATTACATCGTAGAATCAAAGCTCTAAATTATTTCCGACATCAACACTATCTGGCAGAACAACAAAAATCACAGTCAAAACCAAAAATTCATTGAATTTTAACTACGCAATCACAATGAAAACTTCATCAAATCCCGATTCATACCACTATCAAACAGAAGATAACTCAGAGACAAAACCAAATCAATATAAAATCAGGTATAACAATCAAAAAACAAAGCCGATTAGAATAAATATACAAAAAATGGGGATCCAATCCAAAGCCATGACTTGGTAAACTTAGGGTTTCCGGATTGGATTTGGAAGCCTTACAATGGGTGATGGATGTAGACAAGGACGAATCGGAGCGGATTAGATTTGTAAAGAGAAGCAAAGTAGCGAACGAGACAGAACTAGAGATGAAGAGATAGAGAGAACCACAGGGCCGGTAAAGGGTAGAGAGAAAGAGAGTGAGAGAGGGGCGGGGCTGGGCTTCGTATGTCGCTGTCATTTAAATATTGAGAAAATCTTATAAATGCCTACTAAACTATAACCTTTGTTTTAAATTGCCCCTAAACTTTCAATTATCCCAATTTGTATCCTGAGTTATGTAAAAGTTATTCCAATTGATCTTTTCGGTTAAACTTAACTGTTAAATCCTACAATATGTAAGTTTTTCAATCAACCTCTACTGTTAATCCCAACAGAAGGAGTTAGTTGAAATAAATTACATAATTTATAGGAAAAATTAAGATAACTGAAAATTTAAATGATAATTTAAAACAAATATCATAGTTTAGGGGTGTTTATGAAATTTATCCTTAAATATTTTCTTGGATTACTAATGCCCTTCGAATAATTGGATTTTATTGGTGGATTCTTTGGAAATCGGTACACTTAATTAGACTTATTTGACAAAAAATACATAAAATAAAATATGAGTTAAAAAGACATAAATGCTCATTTTAGGGTCATTTAATTCAAAATTTCTTATTTTTAATTCACTTTGATTCATGTGTGATTGTTAATACATATAAATACGTATTTAATGCACATTTGATTCATGTGTATTTATTAATACATGTAAATATATATATTTGTTATTAAATATCTTATTTAAATTTTAAATTATCTTTAATGCACTTTAATGCATGTGTATTTTTTTTTTTAAAAGTGATTTTTTTTTCAAATTATATTTAATGCACATTGATTCAAACGTTTTTTTTTTTGGAAAATAGTTTTATTTTTAAATTAATTTAATATCCGAATAATGTAACAGCGTAATAAATACACTGTAACAAAAACAGTGTTCAGTAGTTTTATATATATAGTAACAAATTCAGAACGGAGATGGACTATTTTGAATGAAATTATATGAAACTATATGTTTGATAAAATGTAATAGTACAATATTTTAAATAAATAGATTGTTACACTATTATTGTTATACTGTTATATTATTAGTGTTACACTTTTATTGTTACATTGTTACACTTATTATTGTTACACTATTAAGAAAAAAAATTAATTTGAAAATAAAATCACTTTCTAAAAAAATGCATGAATCAAAGTGCATTAAAAGATAATTCAAAATTTAGATAAGAGATTTAACAACAAGTATATAAATACATACATACATAAGTATATATATATATATATATATATATATATATATATATTAAAGTTCTCTCATAAAACTAGGAGATGTTTAATGCACCACTTTCCAAAGAAAAGTGGTGTATCAAATACACATGGATTAATGGAGGGCAAAAATGTCACAATAAAAATAGATAAATTCAAATTATGTACTTTGATACAAATAAGTATACTTTTTAGTGTATACTTTTTGTCAAATAAATCTAATTTGGTGTATTTCCTTACAATTTACCCTTTATTGATACAATTTCCAAAAGTAAAAGTTGGCTTGTAACCATCCGGCCCATAGATCAATGGATTGGGCCCAAAGTCCAGGTCAGGTAATGGTGTGTTAACCTCAAAATGGACAGGTCATTTCAAGGTAAAAAAAAAAAATTGTGAAAAGATACACTATATACGAGTTATTTGTGATGAAGTATCTTAATATAAATCTTCTATGTATAAGTCTTTTTTTGTATAAATATTTTGTGACCAGATACACTTTAGCTTTTTTTTTAATATTTTATTTACATAAAAGCCCTTTTTCTTTTTTTGTAGAAAATAATTTAGGTAGTTAATTGTGGGATTCAATTTTCCTATTTTATTAGAAAATTTTTCTTATTTTTTTTATTCTATTTTAATGGTTAAGTGGTTTCCTAAATTAAAGGATAATTAATTATTTGAATTTTGAAAAGATTTTATTAGTTTAAAAAAAAATCTATTCTCTCTCTATATATGACTCTCACCGTTAATATATCTCCCTCCCTATTTTATCATTCTTTTTCTCTCTCTCCCTATTTTTTTCTCTCTCAAATTCATTTTCGCTCCCATCGTTACTCTCCTCTCCCTATCCTCTCTCTCTCTCTCCCCTTTATTGTATATCTTTGTTTATGCATTTAAGTCATATTGTGTGATACTCACTCTGTGCAAAACACTGTATATGATGTTTGTTTTGTAATGGGACATTGAAGTCACACTTTTGATGCCTACACTATGAAAAAACAATGCATATGATGTGTAGTTGCATTGTGACATTAAATTCACATTGTAATCCTCACCATATGTTTTTGAATCTTTATGTGATGTGTGTATGAAATGTTACATTGGAGTTACAGTGTGATATCATTCATGTGCAAATCTCATATATTATATCTATATGCAGTGTAAAATTAACATCATATTTGTGATGCCCATAATGTGTCAATCCCTAGGTCACAATATGGTACATTTCATATGTCAAAACCTACATATGTTGTGTGTATACAATGGACATTGATGTCACATTATAATATCCACAGTGACCTAACTCTGCATATGTATTTTACAAACAGTATGATATTGGGATCACAGTATATGTGTCACAAATTATATAGAGAGAGAGAGAGAAAAATAGTCATTATATTAGAAAGTATTTAAAATTAAACAATTTTGATTTGCGTTAGCTTTATTCTTGTCACAATTATATATATATATATATATATATATATATATGAGATATAAAGAGAGAGAAAGAGTTCTAATATAAAGGAAACTCTAAAATTTAAGAGTTTTAGTTTTTAACTTAATTGGTTTCCTTATCTGATTTTTTCAACAGTGATGTGATGATGTTAGGGGTATTTTGGTCCTTCTCCTCCAAAGTGTGTTTTTTGCCAAATGTTTTTTGAGTTTGTACTTAAAGTCAAATAAGTTATAAAAAATGTATCGGCTTCCAAAAAATCCTAAAAAAAGGTCTTTTAGAAGGCGGTACACTAAATTGAACTTAATTTGTCAAAAAGAAATACTAAAAAATGTTTTATAAAAAAAATCCACTTGTGACATAGAAAGACTTGAATATCCTTTCATTGTAAATCAGTTTCCTAAATCAATTTTGGAAAAAAAATCTCATATTAATTATCTCCACAGTAGTCGGTCTATTTGTCTAGCACGCCCCTTCATCTTCTGAACACACTCAACCAAATAGTGTTTCTCTCGCTGAAGACGGTTCAACTGTCATTCTTCCTTTGAAAATGAGGGGGTTGAAATCAAAACAAAAATCAAACTCATGTAGATATGCTTTATCTTACTCTTTGAACAATATTTTTTTTCCTGTTCTTTCGAGATACGCTACACTGATCGTCAGTATTCTAGATCTGCAACGATTACTGAACAACAATTTTGGGACTGCAACTTGAGCAACTATTTTGGTTCTACAATCTAAACAGTAACAACCCTTTTGTATTCAAATTCCATGTCTCTGTGATGCTTCAAACATCATTGAACACTATTTTGTTTTTGATTTTCATGTCTTTGCAAAATGTTGTTTTTTTTTGGTTTTATTTAATCTGGGCAAATTTGATTGTGTATGTAAAATTAGTGGAAACAATGGAGTCGCAATTAAAAAACTACGTTGTGTCATTGTACTGGAACCATTTTGATTTTACCTAAAAACCAAAAATCATTTAATCTTGAAACCCTAGTTTGTATTGGGTTTTTTTTTGGGGGGGCTGGTGGGTATAGTGATTTTTTTATGGGTATTTGGTACTTCGAACCCCAAAAACTATTGCTAATACATTGTGTTACTACATTTTTAAATTTTCGTTTGACAATTGAAACAGTGTAATTGCTTAACCCTAATGCATATTGTTCTTTGTGTTTTTTATTTTGTTTGGTGTTATAGTTTTTCCTAGCTCATTGATGATTTTCAATTGGTTGAACATGAGTTTCAATGTATCCTATTGCATGTTGCTTCTCATTTAGTGGTTGGGATTTTGTGGTTTTTGTTTTTGGAATTCAAAATCACTACATCTGTGGATGTAAATTTGGAAGTAAAATGGACTTTCACACTATATTAAAATGCTTTTAGGTTGATAAACCATTGACATTCAATTATATTTAGTGCAACATGTATTAAAACATTGTGTTGTGTCATTGTATTGCTACAATGTGTTGTGTTATTGTATTGCTACACTGTGCCGTTATACTTTCAATATAATTGT